GATGTTGTGAATTTGTGTTTGTTTTAAAATGCCTGTTCCTGTGATCTCAGAGTGACTAAACTAGACTGTCCCAGACAGAGGTCTGGAAAGGAGAGCAAGAATAAATAACAAGAGTTTTTTGTGGCTCCCGGAGGCGCTTCCCTAGCGTGACGCGCGGACTCGGCTGCCCAGTGGCCCTCCCTCCCGCCGGCCTCACCGCCGCCTCCCTCGCTCCCGGAGCGCGCCGCCGTGCGCAGGCCAGCGGCGGGGGCGAAGGCCTGGGACGACGCGGCGCGGAGAGGGACGGCCGGCGGGCGGGCAGTGGGAGCGCCGGTCTCTATATGGCGGCGGCTCTGTCGGGCCTGGCTGTCCGCCTCTCGCGTATGGAGTCTTCTGCAAGGGGCTGACCCGCACACTGCTTATCTTCTTCGACCTGGCCTGGCGGCTGCGTATCAACTTCCCCTACCTCTACATCGTGGCTTCCATGATGCTTAACGTGCGCCTGCAGGTGGGTGAGCCGCGCCCGCCGGGTCTCCCGGGCCCGGCCCTCCCCGAAAGGCCCAGAGGGATGCAGATGCCCATGGTAGCCACTATCGATTGGAGCCTGTGTGTGTGCGCCAAGCACCGTGCAATTTCTCATGCAACCCCATTCGAGAAAAAAAAAACAAAAAACAAAAAACACTGAGGTTGTTATCCGCCTTTTGCAAATAAGGCTCAGGTTGCAGGTACCACACCTGGGGGTGGGGTCGGAGGAGGTAGCACCGGCCCGGAAGGTCCCAAAAAGGACGTTTTGCCCTGAAGATGACAAATTGTTGGGTTCTGGTGGTGTATTTGAGTAAATTTTCTGGTTCCCAAACTTTGGGAGGTTTTAAAATATTATCTTCATAGCTTAAGATAGATTGCAAGATAATGATGTTTTGATCACGTTATCTAATTCATTCTAGCCTAGGGGTTGGGGTGGGGGTTGAAGTGAGGTGGGGATAAAGTTGAGAGAATGAAGTAGAGGAGGTAGAGACGTAAAAGGTTTCAAGAGGGCCGAAATAATTCAGATGTGAAATAAAAGGGCGCGCTCACCGGCCACTTTCGCTGTAAATGACTGACATTTCTACAACTCTTGAATTAGCAGATGCCTTTTTTCTAGCAGAAGGGGAAGGTGTCAATTTGGGAATCCTTCCTCAAAGAAAAATGGCTAGATACTGAGCTTCTTTTGAATTTCTTTTTTCACACCTCGGAGTGTCCCAGGTTTTGGGGAGCTAACTGTCCATCAGTACTTAGCATTGATATGCAAAATGAGTTAGTTTGAGCAGTAGTACCAGGTTTTTCTCTGGTTTGGTCGTATCAGTGTAATTGGTGTATCTTCAGGTTTTTGGTCCCTGGCACAGGTGGTGATAGACTACATGAAGCCTAAAGCCAACTATTGATCAAAATTGTATTAAGGGTTAGCATGGTGGTTCATGCCTGTAATCCCAGTGACTTGTGCTGAGACAGGAGGATCCTAAGTTCCAGACTAGCCTTGGCACATCACAGGGCCCTGTGGAGATCCTGTCTCAAAATTAAAAGGCATGGGAATGTGGCTCAGGGGCTAAGCAACCCTGGGTTAAATCCCTGGTACCAAAAAAAAAAAAAAAAAGAGTGGAAGTGAACATGTCTTTATTTTAAGGTCCCATTGACATACTTTTATGTTAAGAAAAGACTTTTGGCATCCATAAGCAGTACCAGGCTGAAGGAGTAGAAACCCAAATATCTTTGCAGCAGGTGGTATAAATGAATAAAGGGTGCTGAGTTTTGGGATTAAGGTAAACCAGAAAGCCTGTGCTCTAGCCAGTTACCACCCTGTGGAAACATGGGCCCAGTATTGGCCAGATCTAGTGATCTTAGAGAAATCAGATGTCCTGATTTTTAGGTATCAGGTTAACCTGGATTTTTTTTTGAAAGTGGACAAAGAGAAAAGTATATGCAGGCTATATCTGACCCCCAAGCTCCCACTTAGGAACCTTATGTCTAGAGTTACATATGATTTGTACTCATTTATAAAGTCACAAGAAGGACTGTAAGAACACCTACATAATACTGGTATGTTGAAGATTACCGTGTTTTGTATAATTTAAAAAAGAATTTTCTTAAATATCCACTTCTCTTATTTGTGATCACCTTTCTAATCTAAACTAATCACCTGTCTGAACTATTTCAGTATCTTTTATCTGTTCTCCACTGGGCAATTCAGTTTTTTGGGTATCGGGGATTGAATGTGAGGGCATTTGACCCCTGAGCCACATCTCCAGCTCTATTTTGTATTTTGTTTAGAGACAAGGTCTCTGAGTTGCTTAGTGCCTCACTTTTTGTTGAGCTGGCTTTGAACTCTAGATCCTCCTGCCTCACCCTCTGGAGCAGCGGGGATTACAGGTGTGCACCACAGTACCCAGCTCAAAAGTTTTTTGTTTTGGCTTTTTGCTGTGCTAGGGATTGAACCCAGGGCTGGGGTTCTATACTGACCCCCCCCCCAGCTCAAAAGAAGTCTTTGAAACACTAAGTGGGGTCTGGCCATCCTTAAAACAGCTCCCCTGGAGCTATTCACATTTCTTACCCTGCAGATCTGGCTTCCACATATCTGTTGCCTGTCACATGACTTATACCATGCTTACTGTGCTTGCCCGGGGCTGCCTAACTGCTTGCACAGAGCCCCTTCCTGCCTCTGTGCATTCACTCAAGTTCTTTCAACCTGAATGCTGGTCTTACACTTTAATTCTTTAGCTCTCCTTTCAGAGAGGACTTTGGAAATCACCATATTGCCATCATCTTGCATCTGCTGTCTTTATTGCAGATGTGCTGAAGGCTCATTTGTTTCATAGGTAATAAACAGTAAAGGACTTCATATCACTGAGACGCCTGTGGTTTCCAAATAGTACATTTGTTTGTAGGACAGTGAGATCATCTCTGGAAAGGTTATTCAAATACAAATTTCATAATAAGAACTCTGCACTGTAATAATTGAGGGCAAGTGCATTTTGGAGGAGGGAAATTGGATCTATAATAAGAGTGGTGTGGGCAGTCAGTGAGTGCAGATACACCAATCCCAGAAACCCTGAATGGGTGACTTGGTGAGCTTGACATCAAAAGGTAGATAGTCCAGGCACAGTAGAGCTTCGAATATGGGGAGCTGAATGGTGGGCTCTTAATTCAGGGACACGTGCGTACAAAGGGAGGGTGGTATGGAGATGATGACCAGGTACCTTGGAGAAGGGATTTCTCAGAACTGCACAGAATTTTAGACTTGAATCCTGGGTTTGATCAGGTGCAACAAGCATCTGTCTCACAACCTGTGGGTGAGATAATGGTATTTTACAACTGTAATACTTAAGTTGGCTACTGTAAGCTCCCCTGCAGGTTTTAGAGTTTATGTTCATTTGTGAACAATCACTAACTTAACTGGTTTAGGGGTTTAATTATTCTGGCCTCTAGTAAAGGGAACAAGAAATGGAATATGGCACCAGGAAATAGAATCCGAGTAAGGGGGACAGCCCCAGCTCATGCCCTTTTTTTCTCAAGCATGTTGTACCCATCCCCTTCGATTAGGGGTGTTAGAATCTATTTAGGAAGCATAAGTCTTAAAGGATTTAATTTTCTACATGTTTACTTAGGACCCTCAAATCTCTTGATTGTAGTGAGTCATTTTAAGGGGATTTACTACCTCTTCAGTATAAAAGATGATTGAATGAGAAAAGAGATGCAAAAGGGCTTTGTAGACTGAGAGTGTTATGATGTAAAAGTGATATTTCTAAGCAAATCTTAATCCCTGGAGTTAGTAGCATCCTACTTATTTATACAGAAGCTGAGGTACAAGGCAGTCACAAAGGGAGAATCTGTACTAAATACTAAATGTAGTAACAAAACAAGAAATGGCACCAGGAACCTGTGGTAATTTACAAATCATGCCCAAACTTTTCAGTTATATGACCTGTGAGAAGATCA